GATACCACCGTCTGTTGTGTTTAGTGTTTACGTTTTTACGACCAAGACAACGATAATAAATCATWTCACTTAGCAGTTAGCATTACAACCACGGCTATCGTGGGTTCACGATTTGCCTCGTTTTTCGTCGTTATAGAGTCTATAAAGTCCATATTATTATAGAATTATACCTGCCTTGCTGCCTCACTTCCATTGTCGTTTTTACTGCAATAGTGCAATTTGTACATACTCTTATCGTTTAATGTTCTATGTACTCATTGTTTTTTTAATTAGTCCATCACAACGGAATATGAATTATAGTTTTGTTTGTCAACGTTAAGTATTTTTTTCTCTTCTGTAGGGAACGATCATTATCATTTTCTGTTTGTACGTTAGGGTTGATTGTTTATTTTTTTTATAACTAATGTATAATCTAATATTATTAGAAAAATAATACTTAATATAAAAACTATATATATATATATATATACACCTATAAGTGATAAATCATAGCACTACTATTGCATTAATATTATGCAGGTACTAGGTACATTATATGATTTGCCTAATAAATAACCCCGGAAAAAATATCCCCGGAAAAAATAACCCCGAAAAAAAACCCACGCGAAAAAATAACCACGGAAAAAATAACCCTATAATAAAAATGATTTGTAAGTAATAAAGYATAAATTTGTAAAACAATGTCAAKAATATATAAATAAAAAATTCTCATTATAAACGTGGAATACAATACAATTTGTCAATTTATATAATACAATAATTTGGTTTTAAATTACCGAATTACCACATTACATTAAATTTAAGATAAAGTTAGTACTGTTAGTAGTTAGTAGTACCTTCCTTATCCGTTATAATATGTCACTGTACCTAGCTATTGTAGGTATATCTGATCGATATGACAGACAGATCGTTTTTATCGTAGGTATACAATAATTTATCATTAAATCCAAAATTAATATTATTTGTGGGAACATAACAATTGTACGTAGGTAATAGGTATGTTATACATTTAGATTTGAGATTAATTTGAAAACTTATATTAACTTATATTATGGGGTTATTTTTTCCGTGGTTATTTTTTCGCGTGGTTATTTTTTCGGGGGTTATTTTTTCGGGGTCTAAATTTCCGGGGTTATTTTTTCCGTGGTTATTTTTTCGCGGTACCACATTATATATAGTAATATTTATCCAAACTTATATATGTTTAGATAATATTTCCTTTTAACACCATAATATAATAAGCAATTTAATAATGTAGTTATACACTCATACGATGAAGTGCGAAGAAGGTAGTAATTTTTATGAACAATCGTGTCATAAACTAGCAAAAGATAAGGATTCTTGATCTGCAAAAATTAAGTACGACATGTAATTTTATTTTATTTTTTAATCAATATATCAATCACTTCAATATTAATAAGAATATTTGATAGGTATGCCCATAATAGTCCATATTAATACAAAAGTAATAATATTTTAGTATAAATTAGAAAAACTCATTTGAGCATTATATTATTATTATTTTTCAGGTAAMTTAATTGCACGGACGTAGCATCGTTAACGGCACAGTCTGTCATTTCTCAGTCTAATGTTATGCTTGTAATAATATATTGATGAAAAAAAATTACAATAATTATTGATTACTGAATACTGTTTAGTAATTTATGTAATAGTGTCGGGTCTGTAGACCGTTTGATGTGACGAAATACAAATTTACCAAGATCTTAGAAATTTTTTCTATGTTAACTTGTAACAATGTAACGCTAAATAAGAAGTAAGAATAAACGCTAAGAATTCTAAAAAAAACTTTTTTTAAAAGGTCTACAGTGATTTGACTCCCCACATTCACCTCACTTGTTTACGCATCTGATTATGCAAACAATGAAAAAAAAATTTATATGGTTGTGGTATGTTTCTTAAATTAATTAGGCAATATAATAGTTATGCGTACTCAGTACTCACTATATTGTGTCATTTTGATTGGCCCTAAATATATATAGGTTTGTTTCCACCATTCAAATTATTTTTAGAATATTATCTTAAATGTGAATATCTAATAATAAACACTATAAAGGTAGTTGTATTTTTTTGCACAATTCTCATATGAATCGAGGCGTCACATATTTTTTGCGTTTAAGTAATAAGTACTTAAACATTTTGAAATGTCGTCTTTTTCAATTAACGTTAAAGTAACCTAACCATTGTTATTATTTAATCATTATTCATTTTTATTATGTAGAATACTGTGTTAATTGATCATACACATTAAATAACTTTTACCAGTCACCACGATATTATCACTGTCTATCTTGTAGTTTTCTCATACGTACGAATCGATGTGTCACTGTCACGCCACTTTTTTTGGCGGTGACCCGATCACGACAAGGTATTTTTTTTTTTAATTATTATTTGACTTTCAAAAACAAAAAATGTGTACATTTAAATGATGTTTGAGTTATTTTAAGATAATATTTAGATATATCGATATTCAAAACTCAAAAATATTTCTGCCCGAATGCATTAAGTCTATGTTGTGCGTCGGCTAAAGTGAACAGTGTGCTCACATAATCTTGAGTGAAAGAAAAATATTTCTAGTTATTATACTCTTTTTTATACTTATATGACTAAATGATTAATATTTTACATAAAGTAACAAAAATCATTTTATGTGAAACTATTGAATCTTCGTGTTAGTATCGAATGTCGTGTAAAACTTTTAAACGTTTATAAAGTTACAAAAAAATGTGTGACCGTATTTATGATAGTTTTCGATTACGGAGAAAATTAATTAAACAACTCACGAGGACGAGGTTGTTCTACATTTTAAACCTTTAATAAAAATTGTATCATACATAAATATAAAATACATTTGTATATTATAAACAGTGATATAAATATTTGGTAAGTTACAATTATATTCATTTATAGATTATCACATAACAGTAAACACGATCCTATATTATGCTTGTTACTCAAAGTACTCAAGTTTATTAGTTCTATTCATGGAATATCTTTATTTCATATAATGAAATTTGTTTTTTGAGTAAGGCTTAGTAACGCTATAGTAACGATTTGCTTAGTATATTCTAATTTAAATTACGTTTTAGTACATTTTTTTTTTAAATGCAGTCAAGTTAAAGCATTTAAGTTATTTTAGTAAAAAAATATTTTCAAACCGCCTGATAAGATAACTTGGTATGAATTAGAAAAAAATCAAATGAGTGTTCACAATACGATTTAATTTTTTCGAACTTAATTGAAAGTTTAGAACTTAGATTGTTCAATTAATCAATATTTGGTAGCCCTTACAATTTTTGTGGCAATTTGAAATTTTTGAATTTCTTGAGAAAAGTCAAAGGTAGTACTACGCCTCAAGCACGAAAGAAAATGGCGATACGAGCTTCAGAAATAATTGAGCAAAAAGATGCAAGATTGGGAACCAACATTAAATATATGAATGTACATCTATAAAATGATGCATCAGCTGATTTCGTAAAACAATTGCTGGAAATGGGGAATAGTAAACTATAAAAAAAAAAGCTATCGACGAATTAACACAATGCATAACATTCCCAATGATTCCAACAGGCAACAGATATGCCTTTTGAATTCAAACTTCGCAATTTTCGGTGTGATTCGCCTTTGCAATGGCCATCAGGCCATCAACAAAGTACAAGGACAATCGTTACAAGTGTATAGACTGAATTTGGAAAATCCATGCTTCTCACATGCCCTTCTGATTTATTTGTGTACGCACCAGAAAAAAAGAACAAAAACTATTGTATATTGGGATATGCATTTCAATAGATATCATTCAATTGAATACTTGAATTTTCAGACTTTTCTCGATAAAACTAATAAAATTACATAATAATAAAAAATTGGGTACTTGTTTGTTATCGCCCCGCCAGTACACCGTATAACATTTATCTCCCCGCCACTCTTGTTTGTTATCGCCCGGCCATAAATAAAATATATTATAATACAATACAAAAATTTAAAAAAATTTAAAAAAAAATGTATTATTATTATAGATTTACAAAGGAGGCCATTTAAAATTAAAAAATGTATTACAATTAT